CCATGGGCCTGACAGCTCAACTTAAGTGCTCGTGCACGTTGACAACATGCTGGTGGCGGCGGACAACCTGCAAATGGTCATGGCCGCCAAGGCGGTCATAGCTGGTTGCTTCGCAATGCATGACCTTGGCGAGGCGCGCTAATACCTCGGCATGGAGATCACCCAGGACCGCTGCAACCGCATCATCATGCTCACGCTGCAGCGCTACGTGGAGCAGCTGCTTCAGTGCCACCCCGAGAGAACACCAAGCCACGCGACACCCCGCTGCCTCAGGGCAAGCGGGTTCTGCCAGCCAGCGACGCCCAGCCGACACTGGTGGATGGCAGTGACTACCGTGCGCTGGTGGGTGACCTAAGCCACCTCGCCAACAGCACACGCCCAGACATCGCACACGCTCTGAGCATGCTCGTGCGACGCGTGTCCGGCCCCACTAAGGCCCACATGGGGCTCACACTGGGCGTGCTGCACTACCTCTCCAGCACCCGCACGCTCGGTCTGCGTTACTGCGGGGACAGCAGCAGCTACACCAGCAACTTCGGCGGGTACAGCGATGCAGACTGGGCCGGCGACCCAGCCACCCGCCGGTCCACCATGGGCTACACATTCTTGCTCGGAGGCGCGACTCTGCTGGAGCAGTCAGTTGCAGTGCACCGTGGCTGCCTCGTCCGTGGAAACCGAGTACCAGGCCGCCACGGCAGCCGTGCGCGATTCATTGTGGCTGTGCAAGCTGGCAAGCGACCTGGACCTGTCCCCGAGCGCTGTCAACATCCAGCTGGATTTGCAAGGCGTGCTCAGCCTCGGCAACAACCCCATCACGACGGTGCGCTCCAGGTGCGCTCCAAGCACATCGACGTGCACCACCACATCGTAAGCGAAAGGATCGTGCACGGTGAGGTGAAGCTTAGCAATTGCACCACCCACAACATGATGGCTGACATCCTAACCAAGGCACCGGGCAAGGTCAAGTTCGTGCGCTGCCGCACAGCGCTGGGCATCACTTAGATCGCCAGAGGAGAAATGCTGAGGGCTTTGCGGAATTGTATCGAGCTAGGCTTTAGGGGGGTGCTGAGGGCGTGTGAGCAGGCGCCAGAGTGGGCAGGTCAATGCCCGAAGGGGCGCCGTAGGCAGTGTGTACGGTGCTGTACGGCACTGTTTACCGTTTGTGTGTTTGTGCAGCGGCACCAGACTGCAAAGCCGACAGGCTGAAGGATGGCAAGCTGCGATTGTCTGCTGAGTGTTGAGCAGCCAGCCTGGACCGTGGAATTGGCGGCCGAGCAAGCTCGTCAGTACTAGCAATGTGCAGTCCGGCCCCTGGTGCGACTCGAGCGGGCATGTTGGTGTGAAGGGATGCCATGTCGCGCTGTGGCCTGTTTAAGGCTGCACATCAGGCTATTGTGAGTAACGGTTGTGGCATATGGAAGGCCGCCCGTCTGCAGAGTACTGCCAGCTCGTCCATCAGGATACGCTTTCCAAGCCTTTAAAAGGCTCTGCTGTTTATCGATAACAGCACCTCAGATTCACACGTTTACGCCTAGGCAAGGGGCTATCGGTGGTAGGTCGCGAACCTCCCGAATACGCGTAACGACCAATGACTCTCAATCGTGTCTGCTAGATCCCAGTGAGACAGCGCCTCACCAACAGGATGGACACGGATCTAGAAGGATCCAAGACCGCCTAGTACATTGTGGTAATGGTGTATGCTGCTTTATGGCGCACAATTCTAGACCAGTATACGAATGTTTGCAAGCTGCCCAGAAATCACCCATTCTGTAGCAGTCAATATGCACCTAATCATCAGCAGGGGCTTAACGAAGGGCCAGCCACGCCTTCCCCTACCCTTTCTGCCATGAATTCATTTGCACTGCAGCGCGGATGCATACTTAAGCAACTGCCCCACAGCACCTGTCGTACCTTTTGTTATATCAATAACGAGCACCATCATGTCGATAATCTGCGCACCACCGATGACTGTACGAATAAGGGACGCATGGCCAGGACAGTCCACGAGCGTGAACTGAAGTTCATCGTACGGCACGTGCGCCAGGTGTTCCGGAATCGGCACCTAAGCGTTTTGAGGGTTCCATTTGCAGAGGGGAAGCTTTGGGGGGGGAGGCAGTGAACAAGAACAGGAATCTCAAATAACAAACCCGCTGCACAGAAGATACAGCGCACAGAGCACATATAACTATGAGAAGGACCAACACTCAGCATAACAACAGCCACACGAGCATCCAACGGAGCAACGAAGCATATGCCGGACCCAATAACTTGCAAACGAAGTGGCCCAAGCTGCATTAAGCGAAAGATGCCACGATACAGCAATAACGCATTGACATGCATGCGTAAGATGAGGAAACGACTGATGGGTCAGCAAGCTTAGGTAGGCGACGACAGACAGGAGAAGGGAAACCAGCCGACGTGGACATCAGGTCACGCAAAACACAATAGATGTCGGCAAGAAGGACAAAACTCCAGTTTGACATTCAGAACAACTTGATATCATGCTAAGAATGGCAACCTCGGCAAAACACTCGAGATGCGCCTCGAACCACTTACGGTATGCCAGTGCCATGAGGCAAAACCTACGTCTTTTCCTCACCGTGAAAGCTGAAAAGCCGAGGTCCAGGGTTATGCCACGTTCCTTGCTCTGGGGATGTTTGTCAAGGGCTGCTGTTGACAAACATGTTGACAGCGCCCCCACTGCGTCAAGTTTACCACCACGTCATTGATGCTGAAAAAACTAGTTTCTTAAGAACAAGATTGATATTCAGCTTACCAAGACTTGTTTTTCCTGAATCTATGTGTCCAAGGACGCCAACGTTCATATTCAGCACTCGTCTCTTCATGGTTGGTGCTTACTTATTGCTCAATTTTTTGAAACTGTATACAAAGAAATTTGTGGGTATGTCAGGTCAGGTTATCTTCTTCATGCGTGCGGCCTCGCCTAAGGACGCCCTCATTCGGATAAGGCCCCGAGAACCGGCAACCGCCTTTGGCAATCCTCGCCAGGACAGGCTTATTTGTCCGTTTCTTTATAACAACATGAATGTCGTAACTCTACCGTCCAGGCTGACTGTGGAATTTGGATCAGAGCATAATAAATGAGGCCTCTTTTCGCACGACATGGTTTCGCCAGTTCTTACGTTACCAATCCTAACTTTTGGGGTGGCTCTACAGTTGCGCGGTTCGTCGGGACACTGTAATGTTATCGGCGGACTAACAAGAACTAGCAAGCTGTCGCCAGTCTCCGTCTCGAAACCAACCATTTTCTGCGCATTGGTCGTAGTTATTGTATGCCGTTTTGATAGGACAATGCGAAGAGGACAGTTCCGTCGAGCAAATATAATCAGCGACAAAGGCCTTAGGGGGTGTTTCCACTTGGATTAAAAGTCACGGATTAAGGTATTTTTAATCCGCGCCAATCCACCGCTAATCCGTCGGAGTGTTTCATTGTGATTTTATTTTGGAACATAGCTCCTGGGAGAAATATTACAGCAAGGATTTTACCCAAAGCAAGGCTATCTTTGACTTCATAACTGAAAACTCTTCCTGCAAAACGTCAAGTTCGCTGACATCGAAGGCAAACAGGCGGTTCGAGCTTGCCGAATCCGCGAATCCCGAGGGAGATGCGGGGCACCTTCATCATCAGTTGACTCGGGCATGTTTAACTATGCATATGCTTAGATGTATGAAAATGTGGGATATGGATATGCTTAGATGTATGAAAATGTGTGCGATACAGCTGCGAAGCAGCCGCAATGCACATTTGTACTTGTTGTTTGACTGGTGACCAAGCGGGCCTTACACGGCAAGCCCGGTTTCCAGCCCCGGTCTGCGCCCGAAAACATGCTAATTTACGCTGAAATATCGTTCGGTTTTCTCCGAAAATGCCTTCAAAATGCTTCGGTGGGGCCCCCGAAAAAATGCTCCAAAAGGCCCCAAATCCGTTCGGGATGCTCCGGGGCGCACTAATTTTCCTTTCGGGCAAAACGGAAAAGTCTCAAAAAAGTTCGGGCCCGAATCGGGGTGAAGAACCTTGTCTGACAAGGGTAGGCTCTGAAGCGGCTTTGGGCCATCTTTCTTCGCTTGCCGTTACTACATTTTTCTCTCGATGCATGCCAGTGTTTCGGAAAGTGGCTCCTGTGGCTCCCAGAAAAATATTTCGCAAAACATGGGTGGCTCCGGCAGACCTAAACCCCGATTCGGCGTCAGGAGCCAAGTGGCTCCACAGAAATTCTGAGAGCTTCACGCGGCAGTAGCCACCCGATGCGGCTGGCGCCTTGAGTTGGATGTGGTGGTCTGCCCACAGTGATGAACCTGGTGGCTTTGTACGAAATTGGAAAGCATGTTCAACCTTAAATGAGTGTGTGTGGTGCGTCCGGTTCGGACATTCAAATCAAAACCTTCAGAAGGTGGCTATCAAGGAAAACTTTCCAGTAGCCACGTGGCTCGTATAAAAACAATTCCCCAAAATAATCTCCGAAACACTGATGCATCCTGCCCCTAGGGCGAGTCTTAAACCCCTCCCCCACACATCACAGACGGGTACCTTCCATGGAGCTAACAGGTGAACTAGGGGGCCCGCTTTTCAAAGCCAAAAAGGGGCTCGGCACTGGTGCAGGCACTTGACCCCCGTTTGATTCGCAGGGCAGTCCGTAGGTCATGGGAGGGCAAGCACAAGAACGCCGTCACGTGTAGAGTACACACTCCTTATTGAGATTCTCAAACAATAAAGGTCGGAAGACTTGCTACGGCGGCGTGGACCTGTCTGGATCGTCGCAAGCATGCAGCACCATAGCGTAATCATTATTGTGTGTGTGTGTATGTTACATGGTTGGGGGTGCGTGACCCCATACCTGTAAGACTACCCATACGAGCCGAAGGCCCAAGGGCAATACTACAACGCCTAAAAGCCACGGAGGAAGGAAAACACCGCACATCAGCCCAGACTAGCGTCCAAAGGGGGTAATTGAGTTTCGGTGAGCCCACATACGTTCCAACCAGGGGTCGGCAAATGGCGCTGGTACAGCGGGTCCTTCCGTTGTACCCGTTGCAGAAATTCAATTCTATTCTTCATCGCTGGTACGGCAGCCGTACGGCAGGGTGCAGAAATTCCCCGCAAAAGGCAGGTTTGCGCAGTTTTGAAGCTATGAACTTCATCATTAGGTTACCAAACCTTCCATTTTACAAGGAGGTAAACGCTAGCTTTGAGAGATTCTCATAATGAACAGTCAATTGACGACCTTGACCAAGGGCATCAGCCCCGAAACGCTTTCAGAATGCTCTGGTGCTGGCTCATTTTACTCATCTTAACTTTAGCTCCGTTCACTTGCATCCTTAGTGGCAGAGGGAGGTCCAAGTCCACGCTTTCACGTTCTGGCAGAGCTGCAACACTGCGCGACGTCCGGGCTGGAAAACAGTGCACTCTTGCAGATTTGTTACCTAGGCAACAACCGGACGTCAATGACCTAGGATCTCCTGCGGCAGGGCTGGAGGATGATTTCCAAACTGCCGAAGCGCTTTCACCGCTCCATGATTCACCTTCTCCACCTCCGCCTGTGCCCATACCACCACCACCTCCCATACCCGTTGCCAACGAGGACAACACCAGACAGCAGGCTCTTGGATCCGCCAAAAAACGTCGAAAGGTCGTGGTCCCGTCAGCTCCCACAGGCCCTGCAGAACCCGCCACCGATGCTGACCCTGGGCCCTCAACCGCCATCACCACCGCTGCTACCAAGACACCGTCCCGGCTTCGAGTGTCAAGGCGGGAGCTTCAGCCTTTTCTTGAAGGCTGCGAGCATCCGGAAATTCCTGGCGAGGACAAGGGTTTCCTAGCACAGGCCGGCGGTGAGGAGTTTTCCAGCTGGGCTTACTCCAAGAATCAGAGAGGAACGCAACGAGATGGCAAGGTGTACTTCACAGCAACCTGCTGGCACTGTTCATGGCATCAGAAGAAGGAATTTAACTTAGTCCGTTGTGAGTGGGATCGCTCTGCCTTCACACACCACGAGAGGGGGGAAAAGCACAGCAAAGCCGTGACAGCTTATAAGGACAGGAGGGCCCAGGAGACTCAGCAGCAGCTGATGGCATCCATAACTCAGATTGGGGACGAGGCGTTGATGGCTTTGTTTGGGGCCGCCTATACTGTCGTTGCCACTGGGATGCCGTTCACTCATTATGACAAGCTATGTGAGCTCCTACTGTTTGCCAACGCCCCTAACATCACCACCAAGTACGATGATCCTCGTGCGTTGGGGAGGTTCACGGCTTGTCTCCACGACTACTATGAAGGCGAGCAGACCAAGCGTCTCAAGAACGCAACGTTCATTGGCATCCAGATGGACGAGTCAACGTGTATTGCTGGTAAGGAAGCCTTGGTTTTTATTGATTTGAGGGAGTGCCTGTGTGAAATGCCACCCAACGTGCAGGTGAGTCCCACGCCGCCATCTGTGTCATCTACGATGAGCCTTCTACTGGCACCATCTTCAAGGAGTACTTTGGGCTTGTGAAGCTATCAGGCTGGACAGGCCGCGACCTGTACGACGCCTGCTCTGGGGAGTTCAGGCGGCGGGGTGTGGACCTGGAGAAGAAGCTCGTGTCGTTTTCTGGAGATGGCTGCTCTGCCGTCGCCTCGGAGAAGAAGGGTGTTTTTGGATTCTTTCGCAAGGAAGTCAACAGCGCTTGTTATGGCATTCACTGCGCCAGTCACCGCCTTGCTTTGTGTGTTAAGGATGCCGGCACCAAGCGCACCAGCCCAAAGATGCTACGTGACACGGTTGCAGCCATCGACGCTGTTATCCGTGCAGCACACAAGGTCTTCTCAAAATCACCCAAGCGCTGGCTTAACTACCTGGCTGTCCGCGAGGTCATCGGTGCTCTTACGCCTGCTAGGACGCTGAAGATGTTCAATGCCACCAGGTACACAATGTCAATCAGTATAGATGCAGATGCTATTAGATGCTATTAGCATCCTTGCTCACGTGTTCCTTTCATCTTTGCAGGTGGAGCGGCCGCTTCAAGTGCATCTAAGACCTTCTCTCTCAGCTTCCGGAGTGCCTTTCTTTCCTTCGCCCTGCCTCCACCACCCCACCGCCTCCTCGCCCTTCCGCCGCCCCAACACCGCCTCCTCACCCTGCCGCCGCCCCAATGCCGCCTCCTCGCCCTGCCGCCGCCCCAACACCGCCTCCTCGCCCTGCCGCCGCCCCAACGCCGCCTCCTCGCCCTGCCGCCGCCCCAACGCCGCCTCCTCGCCCTGCCGCCACCCCAACGCCGCCACCTCTTGGACCTGCCACTGCCCTGCCACCACCTCCTCGCCCTGCAGTTCCCCAGCCGGCGGGTCAGCCCCCCGCCGTCCCCGCCGGCATTTTGTCATCACCTGAGCTTGCAGAGTACTATGAGGCCCTACAGCATGCGTCTCCAGCTGTCCGCGTGATCCTACTTCAGCAGCTTGGTAGCCAGGAAAGCGTCTACGCCGTCCTAAAGAGTCTTTCGACCATCTTCCAGATCGCGTGTGTTGGACTGGGCGTTCCAGACAACGTCAGTTTGCAGATAGTTAACCGTCAGCTCTTGCAGGAGTCGTTAAAAGCCCAAGTCAGCATCATCGACCTTAACATCCGCCGCACGTTATCTCAGCTAGCTCAGGCACAGCAGGCAACTCTACCGCAGCCTCCTCCACCTCCTCCGCCACCGCCCCCTCCCGCCGCTCCTCCCCCTATGGACGGTTCTGCGTACGCAACAGCGGACGACAGTGACAGTGACTACGACCCGTCTGACACCGAGTCTGTCGTGTCAAGTGAGTGTGACGATGATGGCGTTGATGTGGATCCATCGGGTGGCGGCAAACCTGCTGACGAGGCTGCTAAGTTTGCTTCCCTTCACGAGAAGCTGACTGACTTCACTACGCTTGCCTTCACTCACTTTTTGGCCGATGTCCTGGGAACTACGGATGCCATGTTCAAGCTCATGCAGGCTTCTGAGTTCAAGTTTAGTGATGTACCGGGGTGTGTTGAGTGCACCAAGACTGCATTGCATGCGTGCTACATAGCTGTTGAGCCAGGAGAGTACCTCACCCCTGCACTGTCAGCATTCGTTGCCGAGATGAAGGCAACGGGGTTCGGGTCGTATAAGGGTCACACAATCCACGACGTGCCCGCTCATCCTGAGGCCGAGGTGCACAAGCTGGTCTCTAAGTATGCCGCGAATCTCATTCGCCACGTCAATGAGCGGTTTCCTGATACCAGGTTCATCAGTGCTTTGGCCCTATTTAATCCCATGGAGTATCCAGATGTTGACCAGCCCAGCCTGGTCAAATGGGGCATTGAGAAGCTAGATGTTATCCAGGAGTATTTCACATCTCGCAGTGAGGCTAAGGTGCATGAAGGCTAATGAACCTTTCATACGTCTGGATTAAGAAACGGATTGAAGTACGACAGTTGCTCATTCCGTGCATAAAATGCAAAAACGAGTATTGCCAGACATTTAAAAGACTATCGAGTATCGACATGAAGGCCTTGTTGCACCTTTGAACGACACCCACGGTGTGGTGCATAATGCCGAACAAGAAGCACAAAGCTTCCACAAAACTAGGAGCACCTACAGCCTTCATAAAGGATAACCTTCCAACCTATCAGTCAGGCTTTTTATGAGGCGTCGTGAAATGTGTTAGTCCGAGATTGTCAATTTGATACCTGGTGGCCACCAGGTAGCTTTCGTAGCGTACAAACGCATTGTTCCAGTAACTGATTGCGAACCGCAAACTAATACAGAGCAGTCTCTTGTAGTAATAACCATTGTACATGTTCTTGTACATACCGTGCCCTTCGCAATATGAATCTGTATGAACGGTATATAAGTCGCTTGTCCGTGCATCACAGCTGCTTTAATACCTGAAATAAACCCCTCTTACTGTTGGCACTGTCAAGACAGGTACATCTGCAACCAATGAGAACCAGCAGCGGAAACGCAAGCGTGTGGCGCATCCAAGGGCCAGGAGGACACGGCAAAACAAATGTCATGCGTGCGTTCATAAGCAAAGCTGCATCCATGGGCAAACATGTGACTGTTTGTGCAACCACGGGAAAAGCTGCAAAATTCCTGGGCATGGGCGCAATGACAGCACATTTCGCGTTTGCCTTTCAAGGCAGCCAATGGATACTATCGTGCAAGAAACCACCGAATCCATGTTGTCACTCCAGCTCTTGAGGACTCCCAATCCATAATCCGCTTGCCAAGGATATGCGAGGTCAAATACAAGAATGGTGCCAAGCTTGAGCGCAAAATAGTCCCTGTTGTGCCTGCTTTTGCACGAACTGTACACAAGGTGCAGGGCAATACCATCACTGATCCCGTCATAGTTGACTTGACAAACAAGGGCAATACCATCACTGATCCCGTCATAGTTGACTTGACAAACATGAACCGACCAGGGCAAGCATATGTAGTGCTGTCACAGCTGCACATACTGCCTGTCGACATCCAACTAACACCACACATGTACAAGGCTTATGTACCCCCTTTAACACCATGCTTCAGACTACTGCTGAGCCTGCTTATGTTATTGCTGCTACTGTCGTATTGCCTCTCATAAACTATGTTCTATGACCTTAGACACCTGTCCCACGTCCCACCTGCAATGTCATCAACCGTCACCCCTTTAACAGCAGCTGCGAGTCATCAGTCCCAGGCACAAGCCATGGGATTAACCGTCCAGCAGTACCAAAGCCTTGGTTTTCACGCACCGTCGCCTAACAGCATCACAACACAATGTCGCGCCACCCGACGCCCCGATGACGAACGAACCCCAAAATAAGAGGCATACCTTAATGATATGTCCATCATGCCATGTGACTGGCCTACCACAATCGGAGAATGCTCAAGACTCCTAAGCAACAGGTCAGCAGACAATGATGACTTCAAGAACAAATACAATAAAAAACTTGCATCAGGCAGGCAGCGTGCAGCTCTTCACTCGCGGGGATTATCCATGGAAGAAATAGACAAACTTACCAAAAGCCAGGCCAGCAAGCTCATGGACAGTCATGCAGCAGGAGAACAGGCCACTGCAGAACAGCTTGCTCAGTTGCAAAGGCTCAATGTACAGCTGCCGCAGGAACCACTATTCAAGAGGGATGCGTCGGCACTCATTTCACAAAACTCCGTCAAAGCACAGGCTGCAACGCCATCACAAAGGAACCTACTCAAGAAACTGATACGAGTCAACGAATCGCAGACGAGCAGCTGGACGTCATGAGGCTGGCGCATGCCTCAACACTCATCGCTGCGCTCACATCGAAGCGCAACAACGGTGGCAACAAGACAAATGGCAAAATTAACCACTACGATGACAACCTACAAGACAAAGGTGGTGGACCATGGTGCTGGTGGTGCTTGTGCAGCGGCAAATGCGTCACAAACAGCGTAGGGATTTAACAGTTGAGACAGACGTACATGTGCAATCATGCTGGGCCAAAAAATAGCTATGTATTCCTGCCGGTGTAGAGTGCTCGTTGGTTGATGATTGAGTGAGCGGCTGCTGCCGTATGCATGAATGTCTTGCGACAACAGTTGCATGAATGCAATCCTATATGCAGCATTCGGAAGCTTCGTAAAGGCAGGGTAAGTGGTTATGGGCCCCCGCCTGCTACTTCCGTATTATTTTTTAATAGTTTGCTTTATAGCCAGTTCACATGGTACGTTACGTTGAAACTTTTTGGAAAAAGTGGTCGGTTCGGACGTGGTAACGGTACGTTACCGGTAAAGTGGACGAAAAGTCTAAAGTGACCAGGGGGGGGGGTTCAATTTCGTCAAACGCTGACCCCTCGTACCGTTACTTGAAATGCGTCGCCAATTTCGCGAGTTATAACAAACGGCCAAGCCCAATCGCTTATAAAGACCACATACTTGACAAATTGTGCGCGCTTTGCACTCCGACTGAATTTCTAGTCACACCGCTGCCTTATATTATAAAAATGAACAAGGACAACGCCGCTCGTGTTGCTCGCCCGCGCACGACCCCTTACATAGCCAATATGTAACCCATTGTAGTATCAGGGCTGAAGCCATCCGCGAAATGGCAAGTCGGCCGCACTTCCGGCGGCATGGGCCGCGCCGCGTCGGCCCACACGCGCAAGCACTGCCATTGAGAATTGAACATATCCTCAAGGTTGTCAAAAATTTCATCCATAGCGGCCGCTAGGGCAAACGCCATCGCGGCTCGCGCGGGATGCAGTGCCATTGCAGTAGGCAGGGCTGCCAATAACCCGTCAATTATATATTGCGATTCTAAGGGGATGTGCTGAAGTTTTGGCCATTGAAAGACATAAAATGGAGATGGTTTACACAGCTCGCGCCAACGAACACAACGTCGTCGTAATGTCCCATGTGAACTGGGTGACTTTTTCAGGCCCACTTTTCCAAAAAAGTTTTCGCAACGTAACGTAGCATGTGAATCCAGTATTACGTCGCACAGACATAGAAGGACTTTTGCACATGCTATACAACGATTCGTTGGACGTGCTTCCGGTGTATGATGTTAATGCCACGTTTCAATATTCGCTGGTAAAGTATTTGTTACGTACATTTCGGCTGGCTATTAAGTGTGTGCCGTCCGTCCAATTTGGACGCACAGCGTCCTGGCGGCGTAGAAGTTATGTTTTGGTTTATTTTGCGGGATGATGACATTTTGCCCGGGTGCGTATGCTTGGTGGTATTGTCACTGGTCGCACCAGCATATTCATGCAAGTGTGCTGCAGCAGACGCTTGAGTTGTTGTCGAAAGTCACATGTCATTTCCTGTTACAGGTAATGCGAGATTCACAGGTCAAA